GATTATTTGGGAAAAGTTATAGAACAGACTGCCATGAATAGCTTTGCTTATATTTGCAGACATTATTTTCCAAATAGCTGGGAAAATGAACAGCTTGTTCTGGAAGATCGTCTTTCCGATTTGTTCCCAGTTGCCAGTCTGTTAATCACATAAAGCACACGGATAGCCTGCTAATGCTCTCTACGACCTGCATTTATTGTCGGTTGGGCATGACCGTCGGGAGCTCAGCGAATCCCGCCCGAGGTTTTTTCTCTTTTGACTTCCTTGCACTTTGGGCGCCCCGCAGCCACCACGGGACCCTCTCTGGGGCCTCTTCATCAAAGTCCTGACCAACGCAGATCTCCTCCCACCATTGCCACAGCGAGCCGACCCCGCCCCCCTTATTCGGCATCCACTTTCTCTCTGAGGGGGAGAAACCACACACCGGAGTCGTGTAAACGAGCTGAGGGCGAGGCTGCCGAGGGCGAGGGTGGGAGGAGGGCTGGAGCGCAAGCTGGGGGTCAGTCTGTCAGACTGTCAGGTGACAGAGGAGCTGCAGGACAGGCCAGAACCCGAAAGGAGTCGGGTTCAGCTTGGGACCCGAGCTCCACACCGAAAAGGCCAGAAGCAACTGGCTAACCCGGCCGGGCCAGGAGCTCCGCCTCCGGGTCACAACACCCAGCCAGCGCACCCCCAGAATCGCCATCCCGGTAGCCCCTCCCCTGAGCTCTTGTCCTAGGCCTGGCAGTCAGCCGCCCCCGGCCACCTACCGGGGCTCAGGGCCGCACAGCGGGGCCCCGACTCTCGGCAGCCTCTGCCTCCTCCCGGTCCATGGGGTGGGGGCCCCAACCTTCGCCCCCCTTCACTCAGAGGAGGAAGAGGAAGAAGGTAGTGCGGGTTTCCCACCCGGACAGCTACCTCTCGCCTCAGCCTCCTAGGACAGCGACGGCCGCCGGAACCACCGCCTCCTCCCACCGCTCCGGGCTCAACCCGGAAGCACACTCTGCCTGCTAAGCAAGCCCGCCTTCTCCCGGAAGCGCAATGCCAGCCACGAGCCCGAAGGGGAGGAGGGGCAGCGCTGGTGGATAGAACCACGCCCACGCAAAGGAATCCGGGCCTCCAACCTTTCGCCTCGAGCTCTCCAGAGGCAGTCTGCACTTTAGCCTCCCCCGCGAGAGCCCCAGGATCCCAGAGTCGGGCAATACCCACAAGCAAGATGGCGACAACGGCAGCGCCCCCCACGGCTTAGCGCCCAGCCATACTATTGGCCAGAGTCTGAAGTGAAGTCTCCGCGGATTGGTCGAGAGCGGTGCGTGGGTGGGGGTGGAGCTGCTGCAGGCTGGAGCCCGGAGTGGGCAACGCGGCGTGAGCAGCGGTCCCAGTACTGGCCTCAGGCTCCCGGAGCATCGCGCTCGGAGAAGACTTCGCTGCTCGGGGCCGCAGCCTGGTGAGCTCAGCCCCTTTCAAGCCCTCCCCTGCATCCCAGCTGGGACCTCTCCGAGCGGGCGCTCGTCGATGCCGGCACACCCCGGGGGACCCTGTCGCGACTCCACCGCTCCATATCGCGACATCACCGTGCCCTGTCGAGACTCCATTTTGTCAGAGCCCTTTTCAGTATATAGCTCTATATTTTTTATTTGCCCTGTCATCTTTGGGGGCTGCCCCGTGTCGTGATTTTTTGCCGTGATCTCTCCGTGACATCACCACGCCATCGTGAAGTGTGATCTCATCGCTGCCCTGTCGTGACTTCATCAATGTCGTGTTGTGACCTGGCCGCGGCGGGACAGGTGGTGACCGCCAGGAATCCTTCTCCCTTTCTCATCTCCCATCTCAGCAATCACGCTTCGATTATCAGGCTTTTGGATTCTCCGTTGTCTTGGGAGCTTCCCGGGACCCCTTCTTGCTTCTCCAACCTCTGCCAGTATCCACAGGCTGGTGGCAGGGCGGGGATGGTGAGGAGAGGGTGCTCAAGGGGTTAATTCTGCTGCTGCTGCTGCAGCTGCAGCCTCTGCCCGAGGGAGGGAGAGGAGAGGAGGCAAGGAGCCCGCGGGGGCGCCTGTGAGCCCTGGCTGTAGGGGTGGGGTCCCCAGAGGGCCTCCAAGTCTTCCTTGGTCAGCACCCAGCAAACTCTTCTGCTGAAGCTCATTCCTTGCCTCCTAGAAAGAAGGGAGAAGAAGCAGCCTGGGATGTCCCTCTCCCCCCTTTTAGCCTGAGTCTGGATAATCGAACTTGAGCCCTTGTCTGTCTGCATTCCTCCCTGTCTGTCCTTACTACACCTTCCTTGTGTGCCTTGATTGAGGAAGATCAGACCAAACTGGGCCTGCTGTGCCAGGGGACAGCTGAGCAGAGGGACCTTTTCCCTGGGTTGAGAGGAGCTGTCCAACAGAGCAGCGGGATGCATGGTCCTTCTTTCCTTTGCTTTCCGGAGGTGACCTTGGGCAGGGGTCCCTTCCCCATCCCTAAGGATTTTTAGGTCCAGCCCTTTGAAGAGACTCCCCCCAGAGGGAGGTCAATCCTGAGTATCCTGCCTCCCCTGGTTCTCCCCTCCCTGTGTGCTAATCCCTCCCTCCATCTTCCACTCCCACCCCCGCCCCCGCCCCTCCTCTGCAGAGGGATGCTCAGTCCCTCTTGTGTTCACAGTTGGGCAAGGCGGGCACCATGGCCTCGGATTGTGAGCCAGCTCTGAACCAGGCAGAGGGCCGAAACCCCACCCTGGAACGCTACCTGGGAGCCCTCCGTGAGGCCAAGAATGACAGTGAGCAGTTTGCAGCCCTGCTGCTAGTAAGGAACTGGCTGGAAACTGGGAGGTGGGAAGGGTTGGGTGGTTGAGTGCTCTAGTAATGGGGTCAGTGAGTCCCCAGAGATATATAGGTGGTGCTAGGGCCCCGGAGACACCAAAGAGTGCCCAAGACCCCTTCCTTTGGACGCCTTTTTGCTCCCCTGGGAATGGAGGTGCAGTGAAGGAGGGTTTGTGGTCCCTGGAGGAGGCTGCCTGGGCTGTTCTCTGGGGCGTCCCGGAGCAGATGGGGACTGACTCATAGGGTAACAGCAGCAGGTAGTAACTAGTGCAGAGTACTTGAGGCTGAGGATTGCTGCTCTGGGGGTGGAGAGAGTAGCAGGGCTGAAAGGGGCTGGAGAAGACCCTAAGGGAGAGCCAGGGTAGTGATAGGTAGGATGAGTACAAAGGCACTGGTTTGGGGCTTAGCCTTGCTAAGTTAGGGACCCAAGCTAGGGACAGCAGAGCAGGAGCTGCAGTGCTGGGAATGGAGGGGAGGGGGGTGAGTGTGTGGGGGGTAGAGGGAGGAGGGAGAACAGCGCTGCTAGTTTGCCATGGCAACAGGGAGAAGGCTCCAGAGTCAAGGGCTCACACTGCAGCAGAGGAGGTGTTTAGGTGATATGGAAGGGGAAATGTTTTGACAGCAGCGCGGCGAGACACAGGAGCCATTTCCCCTGAGAAGGTGGCGGGAATGGAGCAGAGGCTTCTCCCGAGGGAGCCATCAGAGTGGACCCTCAACCCTCGGGGGATTGTAAATACCGAGTTCTGAGCCCAGTCCAAGTCAGAGTGTGGGCAAATAGAGGAGGCATCAAAAACACCTCCGGACTGACCAGGAGGAGTGGTTGAGGAAGGACAGACCTTCCTTGCTTGGAGGTGAGCTTAGATGTGAGGGATCCTGGAGGCCACGCCTCTCTGCCTCCAGGGAGAAGGCAGGAGCTGGACAAGACCAGATCTGGGAGGCTTCGGAACTCAGAGGAGCCCCATTGCATAACCTACCGCTAGTCCTCAGCACTTCAGGGTTCAGGGAAGGACAGTCGTGGCCATCTCTTTTTCCATCCTGCTGACAGTCCCCCACCCCCACCCCCATAGGTGACCAAGGCAGTTAAAGCAGGTGACATCGATGCTAAAACTCGGCGGCGGATCTTCGATGCCGTGGGCTTTACCTTCCCCAATCGCCTCCTGACTACCAAGGAGGCACCAGATGGCTGCCCCGACCATGTTCTGCGGGCCCTGGGTGTGGCTCTGCTGGCCTGCTTCTGTAGTGACCCTGAGCTTGCCGCCCACCCCCAAGTCCTGAACAAGATCCCCATCCTCAGCACTTTCCTCACACCCCGGGGTGACCCCGATGACGCTGCCCGCCGCTCCATGATCGACGACACCTACCAGTGCCTAACAGCGGTGGCAGGCACACCCCGGGGGCCCCGGCACCTAATTGCTGGTGGCACCGTGTCTGCCTTGTGTCAGGCGTACCTGGGGCATGGCTACGGTTTTGACCAGGCCCTGGCACTCCTGGTGGGGCTGCTGGCTGCAGCCGAGACCCAGTGCTGGAAGGAGGCGGAACCTGACCTGCTGGCCGTGTTGCGAGGCCTCAGTGAGGATTTCCAGAAAGCCGAGGATGCCAGCAAGTTTGAGCTGTGCCAGCTGCTGCCCCTCTTTCTGCCCCCGACAACCGTGCCCCCTGAATGCCTCCGGGATCTGCAGGCTGGGCTGGCGCGCATCCTGGGCAGCAAGCTGAGCTCCTGGCAGCGCAATCCCGCGCTGAAGCTGGCAGCCCGCCTGGCGCACGCCTGTGGCTCAGACTGGATCCCAGCGGGCAGCTCAGGGAGCAAGTTCCTGGCCCTGCTGGTGAACCTGGCCTGTGTGGAGGTGCGGCTGGCCCTGGAGGAGCCAGGCTCCGAGGTGAAGGAGGATGTAGTGACCGCCTGCTACGCCCTCATGGAGTTGGGTATCCAGGAGTGCACCCGCTGTGAGCAGTCCCTGCTGAAGGAGCCCCAGAAGGTACAGCTTGTGAGCATCATGAAGGAGGCCATCGCTGCTGTCATTCACTACCTGCAGCAGGTAAGGGGTTCAGAGGATCCCAGGGTGGGCGGAGCCAGTGCACCAGCCCCAGGGCAAGGGAGAGGGGAAAGTAAAGCCCCCTGCCCTGGTGTGCTGGGAAATGGGGCGCTCCTGCACCATGCCACTTGGGCTGATACTGCATCAGGCACTTCAGGGAGTAGTGTGTGGCCAGACCTCCCTCTGCTCCCCCCTCCCAGAGCCTCCACACAAGCACCATACCACACACCATATGTGCTCTCACATTATACTGCACACACACAACACAATAACCTCCCTCCCACCCACACCACTCTCCCCCAAACACACACACTGTACAGGACACACATCTCTCCCCAACACACATCAGTTGGAGCAGTCTGTTGTACTCCATCCGTAACATTTTTTCACACACACCAGTGATGGTACAGGGAGAAAGCCCGAGGCCGCCTGGTCCTGGCCCTGGTCTCTGCAGAGGTCCAGCTAATTCTGTTGGACACCCCACTTCTCCCTCTCTGGCCGAGGGTGCAGCATTCCTGTCCCACAGAGATTCAGTCACCACTTGGGTCACTTCAATGGCCTGCTCCAACCACTGATCTCCCCAGCCTTGTAGCCCACACACCAGGCCAACTCTGTCCTCCCGCCACCCCCACCCCACATCAATCAGCCCTGCTGTAGACGAGCGCTTACTCAGCCTTGGTCCGGTGAGTGTCCTGGCCTTGAGGTAAAGAAGAGGTGGGGCCCAGGGGGAGCTAGGGTGTGCTTTGAGTCCCAGGGAGTGTGGAGCACTTTGCCTGAGGTCCAGCTCACTCTGCATACGTGCCCAGTCAAACCCCTGTGGAGCTGGTCTCTTCATATATAAGGTGCTCTGTACAAGGGTCGTAAGAAGACTTAGCGCCTGCCTCTGATTCAGAGGTTAGAGCTCTCTGCCTTGTGTGTTCTGGGGCTGGCCAGCAGGCTAGCCAAAGCTGGGAGGGTCTCTGGTCCTGCCCCATCTCAGGGGAGACTTTTGGCAACAGGTGGGGTCGGAGAAGCAGAAGGAGCCCTTTGTGTTCGCCTCGGTGCGGATCCTGGGCGCCTGGCTGGCCGAGGAGACCTCATCCCTGCGAAAGGAGATCTGTCAGCTGCTGCCCTTCCTCGTCCGCTACGCCAAGACCCTCTATGAGGAGGCCGAGGAAGCCAATGACCTCTCCCAGCAGGTGGCCAATCTGGCTATCTCCCCCACCACCCCAGGACCTTCCTGGCCAGGGGATGCTCTCCGGTGAGTTAGTAGTCACAGTTTGTCCACTGAGACACCCCCTCCCCAAACAGGGCTGTGCCAGGCTCCTGGCCAGGGCATGAGAAATGGTCTTCTAAAGGGTCATGTCTGTTGGGGAAGGCCTATTCTCACAAGAAACCTAGACTCCTAAATGTTACTTACTGACCCCAAATTTCCCTATAAAAGGTGGGTTCACATTCATTGATCACCTACTGTGTGCCAAGCATTTTGCTCTACCTTTCACTATAGTGACCTCATTGGTCTCCACAGTAAATCTGTGACCTAAGTTTTATCGCCATTTCCAAGAGGCTCAAAGAGGCAAAGGAACTTGCTCAAAGCCTTCTTAGTGGCAGAGCTCAGGTTCAATCGTAGGCTGATGCCACTCCAAAGCATGTGCTTTTTCTGTGGTCCCTACAAGGAAGTGTCCTCTTCTCCACCTGATTTCCATCTCTCTTAGGTGGTACCTCCCTCTCCCACCCACCCCCAAAAGAGCATTCTTGTGCCTTCACCTACGTCTGTCCCTTCCACACCCTCAGGCTCCTTCTCCCTGGCTGGTGCCACCTGACAGTGGAAGATGGGCCCCGGGAGATCCTGATCAAGGAGGGGGCCCCCTCACTCCTGTGCAAGTACTTCCTGCAACACTGGGAGCTCACATCGCCGGGCCACGACACTTCAGTGCTGCCTGACAGCGTGGAGATTGGCCTGCAGACCTGCTGCCACATCTTCCTGAACCTGGTGGTCACTGCACCAGGGCTGATCAAGTGAGGGGCTCGGGAGAGGTCAGGGAGGAAGCTGGGGGCTGACACTTGCCTCCAGTCTCCATCTCCCATTTTGTTTACCTGTGCCCATGGGTTTCTATTAGTGCTCCCATGAAAGGTTTCGTAGTCGGCAGATGCCAGGCCATACAAGGCTCTGGCATACCTAGAACTCCCAGCAATTCTCTCTGGGCCTATCTGCCAGCTCTAGCCCTCACCAGACTTGATTCCCCAGATGCCACTTTGGGACCAGAGCTAACGCTTCACATTGCAGCCTGAGTACTGGCTAATCCCTGGCCAGGGAAGCTGGGAGCTCAGGATTCCAGGCTTTCCAAAGGACTCGTGTCCACACTCACACCTGCCTCTCCCCATCCTTCCCCAGGCGTGACGCCTGCTTCACGTCTCTCATGAACACCCTGATGGCATCGCTGCCTGCACTCGTGCAGCAGCAGGGGAGGCTGCTACTGGCTGCCAACGTGGCCACCCTGGGCCTTCTCATGGCCCGGCTCCTCAGCACTTCTCCAGGTAAGCCCCTGGGGGCTCAATCCTAATGGGGAGTGGGCAGCCAAAGTACTAGGTGGGCTTCCTCCATTGCAGGCATAAGTCACCATTGTCAGGAAATGGTTGTGTACAATTTTCCAATCAAGAAGGAATCTCTGGCAGTTACTCCCATCCCCCACCCCCCACCTCCTTCCCAAAATGACACCATTCCTTCCCCCTTAAGACTTTTAAGGCAAGGTCTGGTGGGTGTTAAGCACAAGCCTGCTCACAGGCACAGGCATAGGCCCTTCAAATCCCCAGCGGCCCCAGGGATCTGGATCCAGTGTTTTCAAGGTAGAGCCGCCCCCACCCAGGCCTTGAGTCAGAAAGCTGATTCCCCTCCATTGAGCTTTTTCTCTGCTCAGTACCTCACCTCCCTCGGTGGCAAGCTTCAGCCTCTGCATTCCTGTTTGATCACCTTCACCCCGATGCCTCCGAGGGGGGATGGTGTCCCCTCCAGCCCCTGCCAGCCCTCTGTGTCTCCCACTTTGGCCGTGGGTGTCTGCTTGGGTCCCTCTGTCCCTCCCTGTTCCCTGTGCCCCATCTGTCAGGTTGGAGGAGCTGAGCAGATGTCCGGGAACAGGGTGTAACATACCCTTAGCTGCCTCTTTGTTCCCTGGTGGAGATGGCAGCAGGGTACCCAGCAGTGGGAAGAGGAGCATGTTCCAGTGGCCCTGGACCAGAAGCCCCCCAGAACTCCCACAGTCCCCAGCTGCCCCTCACAGCACCTGAGTAGGGCCACCATGTTCTATCCCCAATGCCTACTCATCTCACAAATGCCACCAGGTTAGACTCAGTCTCTCAGAGAACTGGTGTAGCGTGAGGGCATCCCCGCTGCCTGGTAGGTAAGCAGAAGCTGCCTCATCAGCTCACCGTCCCCTCTGACCCAAGAATCACATGGGTGACATGGGTCAACCCTTTCTGCCCACCTCCTCCACCAAGGAGGTCCTGCTGGTTGAGTGTGCCATCAAGCCGGTTCTGACTCCAGTCACCATACAGGACAGAGTCCCACTGCCCCCCAGGCTTTCTCTGAGCTGCAGTCTGAGCGAGAGCAGTTCCCCAGGTGGGGTCCGACCACCAGCCTTCCAGTTAGCAGCCCAGCTCCTAACCATTGCGCCACTGGGCTCCTTAGCTGAGCACGGTGGTCCCCTTTTCGCAAATGAAGAAACTGAGACCCCGAGAAGTTAAGAAGGTGTCCAAAGTTCCTATTAACTCCAAGGTGGAGGATGAACCCAGCCAGTCTGACTTCAGGCTCTGCTGCCTCCAAACTGAAAGATCTTGACTCCCCGAGTACACCCACACCAGAAGGGGAAGGTGGGGTCTCCCAAAGCAACCTGCCCACTACCTCACACCCCCCCCCTCCTTGCCTTGCAGCTCTTCAGGGAACACCAGCATCCCGAGGCTTCTTCGCCGCTGCCATCCTCTTCCTTTCACAGTCCCACGTGGCCCGGGCCACGCCTGGCTCGGACCAGGCCCTGCTGGCCTTGTCCCCTGACTACGAGGGCATCTGGGCCGACTTGCAGGAGCTCTGGTTCCTGGGCATGCAGGCTTTCACGGGCTGCGTGCCCCTGCTGCCCTGGCTGGCCCCCGCTGCCCTGCGCTCCCGCTGGCCGCAAGAGCTGCTCCAGCTGCTGGGCAGCGTCAGTCCCACTTCCGTCAAGCCCGAGATGGTGGCCGCCTACCAGGGTGTCCTGGTGGAGCTGGCCCGAGCCAACCGGCTGTGCCGGGAGGCCATGCGGCTGCAAGCCGGCGAGGAGACGGCCAGTCACTATCGTATGGCCGCCCTGGAACAGTGCCTGTCGGAGCCCTGAGGGGTGTCCACTCTGGGGACAGGCCCAGGGCCGGTAGTAAGGGAAGGAGGGAGGAGGCATCTTCCCTGAAGCCCCCAAACGGAAATCCCCCTCCCTAGACTTCCCCCCACATTCCCCAGCTTTCTGGCTTTCCTGAGGGCCAGGGCATGGTGCCTGCCCCTCAAGTGTAAGGAACCGCCTCCCGCCCCTGCCCGGGGCCCTCGTGGGGGCAGGGATCATCTTGGAAATTCACGTGGATACCCTAGCCAGGCTGGGGAAGGTTGGAGTAGCCCCCAAGGAGGGGACACGAGGTGTCATTGTGCCCAATGTCTGGCTCCCCACAGGAGGGAGGCCCAGGGCAGGACAGGGCTGGCAGGAGCTGACTGCCACAGCCCATGTGCCCTGCCGGCCAGGGCGTGGACTCCCATAGGCTGTGGTGCCCCCGCTGGCCCCCAGTTCCCACGTCCTTTAAATTAGCCCTTGCCTCTTGCCCTTGGATCCTTGGGCAAAGAGCGGGCTCAGGCCATCGACATCACAGTTCTTCCTATCAGCTTTAGTGACCCAGGGTCTGAACTGTCCCCATCCTTCCAGGGAAACCCAGGGCAGACAGGCCTGGGAGAGGGTGGGGACACCTCCTTCCGCCTGAGCTTCCTTTGAGGAGACCCAGGAGTCCTCTGGCCCTGGTCTCCAGGCTTTTGTGTCGTGTTGCAGCTGAGTGACAATAGGGGTTGGGGGGTTATTTATTTTGCCTGTCCTTATCCCTGCTTGGGCGCCTGAGCGCCTGATCTGCCCTCCTGGTGCCATCTGGCCTGGCTGAAGCCAGGAACAGAAGGGCCGCATCCCCAGAATCCGCATGTTCCCCCAGTGATTGCACCCCATCTCCACCGCGGTGCCTGGCTTGAATTCCCACCCTGGCTCTGACTCCTCTCTGCAGGGAGGCGCGACTGGCGGCTCCAGCAGGGATTGCCTTTCTTATGGTCCCAAGCTCCCCACCCTGACCTCTCCCCCCACCCCCTGCCCTTCCCCATTGCGTTCTGTGATCGCCAAGTTCAAAGCTGTGCACATGTGGACACTCAATAAATGTTCATTGTTGACCAAGTGGCTCCTGCATGGTCTGTCCTACACTTTGTCTCTCCCTCCCAGGCGCCTCCCTCACAGCTCCCATTTGTCCCACACACTCTGCTAAGCACACTTCACATGTGTTGGCTCATACAGCCCTGGCACGAATCCTATGAAGAAGGCACAGTGGTTGTCAGGTGCCCTCAAGTCAGTTCCGTCTGCACAACAGAATGCAGCCCTGCCCAATCCTGCACCATCTCCAAGCCTTACACAGCCACGGTGTCGATCCACTCCCCTGACGGTCTTCCTCTTTGTAGCTGCCATTCTACTTTACCAAGCACGACACCCTTGTCCAGTACCTTGATTTACAGATGAGGACACTTGGCTCCGACTGTTTCAGCTAGTGAGTGCCAGAGTCAAGACCCCAAGCCCAGGAGCCCCAGAGCCATCGACTGACAAGCCTGCACTTGTCTCTGGTTCAGCAGGTTGAGAACCTCAGATATTTCTGGAGCCAGGGCTGGTCGGGGACCTGGAGCTTCATGTCCCAGAGTGGTAGCCTCCCCTTAGCATCAAGGGAGTGGTTGCCAAGAGAATGTAAGCTTAGCACTGCCAAGGCCCCCAAATCCCTAAAGAGAAGACAAATTCTAACCTACATTAAATTCAATTTTTATATGCTGTCAACTGCTTTAAAAATTAAAAAGAAAATCCAATCACTACTGACCCAACGAAACAGCCAAAAACCAAATGTGGCTTAGGGACTATGGAGTGTTCTCCACCGGTGCCAAGTGAGAAGGGAAGGAAAGCAGGCAGGCTTCGGTAGAAGGCTGGAGTCGGCCCCCACTGGCTTAGTGTGGAGACAGTCTAGCCCCAGGCCCACTCTCTGCAGACGGCCTTCCCCACCAGCATTTGCTCAGCACATCACATGCCAACCTGTGCTTGACTATGAACGGCCATTTACTGGGTCAACCAATAACTACTCTTCGCAGGAATGCTCTTGGGCAAATACGAAGACAGATTCCTGCCTTCAAGCAGGTGAATGTAGACTAGATTTCTACATTCAGCCAGCCTAGGAAGGTATAAACATAGAGGTCAGGACAGAGGGCAGCTGGGCACAAGAGGCTCAGTTGAGCTGCAGGCACCTGGGAAAAACCCAGAAGTATTTGCTCTGTGACCTGAAAGATGGGGCATGTCAAGTAGGCAGGTAGAGGAACCGCAGTTATAAAGGGATGCAAGTTTGGGAACTACAAGTAGTTCACTACCGCTAGTGGGGAGTGGTGGCATTGAGGCAGCACCCAGTAAGCCTGGGTCAGATGATACCAGTCCAAGTGTGCTGTGCAAAGCCCAGATGCAGAGTCATGCTGAGGGATCTGGCTACAGCTGTTTGAGGAGATTAAATGTGATCTGGTTCCCCGGTTAGAGAGGTGACTTTGGCTGCAAGATGAATAACCTGAGGCAAGGAGTTCAGAGGGGAGGTGGTGACTGAGTTAAGTGGCAATGAAGATGGAGAAGGGTGACACATTGCTATTGAGCTAATTCCAACTCATGATGGTCCTAAGTGTTCCAGAGTAGAACTGAACACAGAAGCAGGTCAACAGGGCTTCTCTGGTGGCCCTGGGCAGGCTTGAACCACCTTTAGCTAAGTAGTCCATTATAAATCATTTGCCGCATCCAGAGTTGGTAGGACTTAAGGATTAATGGGAAGTGGAGGGGGCAGGAAGGATGGGGAGAGCCAAAGATGATGCCCTGATTCCTGATTTCGGCCACTGAGTGAACAATCAGAAGAACGCTGGAAAAAGAATGGATTTGTGGGAAATGAGGTTAACTTGGTAAACAGTGACTTTGTGCTATTGTGGGATATCCAAGGGGGCAATTGGTTTCTATGATCAGCAGGGTGAAGAGAGGTCTGGGAATTGTCAGGCTAAAGCACTCAAGACCTGGCGGTGCGGTAAGTTAGGCTCTGGGCAGCTAACTGGAAAGTGGGTGGTTCAAAACTGCCAGCTACACAATGGGAGAAAGCTCAAGCTATCTACTCCTGTAAAAGTATAAAGATTTTCAGAAACAAAGCTGCATCTATACAGGGTTCCCATGAGCCAGAACCGACTTGATGGCAATGGCTGTTCTGGTGTAAGAGTCAGAATAGACTTGAAGGCCATGGGTTTCAGATCATGGGAGTGACTGATATCAGCTGAGGACGTGAAAAGAGAAAAGGACTGACCCCCCCCAAACAAGTGTCAATCACTCAGGGCCCCTGGTCTCAAGGTGCCCTCCCTGGTGCAGTGGGGGAGCCAAACCTGCAGAGCCACACAATACAGTGTGGACTGAGCTCTGCACCTTCACCAGGGATGGTCAGGGAGCAGTGGACGCCAGAATAGGAAGAGGGGCTAGGCTAACTTGGTAGGACCAAACTTGCTCCCAGCAACTCACCTGAAAGGGCGAACAGGAACTCAGAGCTGCAACGGTGAGATCTGTCCACGAGGTGGCGCCTCAGCATCTCCTTGGGCCAGATTTCCCCCATCCTGAAAACAGTAAACCAGGCTCAGAGCTGGAGGTTGTCAAAGGTTGGACAGAAGTGGGTGGCTGCATCACCTGAATTTTTTTTCCTAACAAAATCCAACTGCAAACTCATTTCCTGAGACAAGAAGGAAAAACCTGTGAGAAGAGCAATATATGCCAAGCAGCCAAATGGGAGTCCCTGTATGTGTGAGCATATTGCAGTGGGTCCGGTCAACCATGTCTTGTGTTCCCCTGTGGACATATATATCTCGTGATTGTCTCTGTGACTGCTGTGAAAACCAGAGGTGTCTGCATGTGACCCACTGTGTGTACACCAGGACCCCATGTGTGTGCATCCTAGAGAGAGTCATCGGCTATCCCCACCTCCAGGACTCCAAAGTGACTGAAATCCGAGAAGGTGACCAAAATGGAGCCTTTATAATGCTTTACAGGAGCAGATGGCCTCGTGGAGCAACTGAGGGTTTGAACCACTGACCTTGACCTTCCAGTTAGCTGCCGAGAGCCTACCTCACAGCACCACCAGGGCACAGATGCTTACCACTGGCAATCCCTACATCTGTCACTCACTCAGACCTCTCCCCAGGCTGCTGATCACAGAAACCAACTGGGTATTCCACTACCAGTCCAGTCACGGTTTTCCAAGTTGGCCTTATTCCTGCAAACTCATTCTTCTTCCAGTATTCCCCTTCTTATTCATTTAGGAGAAGCCTAGAGCAGCTGCATCTCACAAAGCACATTCCTCTCCCAAGCAGCCAGCAGCAAAATCACTCACCGATCAGTGTTCTTGTTCGCTGGTTTCCAGTCAGCTAGACTGGTGGTGACCCCATGAGTGTCGGAGCAGAACTGTGTTCCACAGGGTTTTCCAAGGCAACTGTTCAGAAGTAGACCATCAGGTGAGTGTGATCCACCATGGTTAGCAGGTCAAGGTCAGCAGCTGAACATATTAGCCATTCTTCACCACCCAGGGGCTCACCCGATAATGTGCCCCAATTATGCCTCAGCTCTTTGGCTACCCAGGGTGATGCTCTAAGCAGAGGTGAGGAACCTTTTTTCTGCCAAGGGCACTTGGATATTTACAATGACATTCTCGGGCCACGCTGGTCAAACATTTAATTCACTCACCTTTAATGTAATGGCTAGAGCTGCTTCCCTTTGGTGAGGCCTGTGATGTTAACTGGTATTGATGATGTTGCAGGCCTTATGTGGTCTGTGGGTTGGGCATCCCCAACTGCTGATCTGGAGGATCAAAATCGTGTCCTTCCATTCATTGTTTATTTAATAAGCGCAGTGCTGGGCACATTTTCTGCTTTGTTTTGTCTTTCTTGATTATTCTATTTGTGAAATCATTAATGAGACTGAGAAGGAAATTTAGCTACAGTGATAAAGGACCTGCCTGGGATTTCATGTTAGAGTATGTGAGCACTGTTTCCTGTAGATGGGCCAGGGGGAGTCCCAGGAGTTTTCAGTAGGGAGTAACATGGTTCAGCCAGTCTTGCTGCTGAATGGAATTGGACTGGGAGAGACATGAATGAGGCAGGAGACCAGTTAGAGGACTGTCGCAAGGATCTAGATGTCTCAGGGAGGAGCCAACTGTGTGTACTCAACCATTAACCTAAAGGATGACAACTCAGCAACACTAACAACCGGTGGGTCGTGACCCCTCTGGGGGTGGAACGACCCTTTCACAGAGATTGCCTGATTCATCACAGTAGCAAAGTGACAGTTATGAAGTAGCAACGAACATCATTTTATGGTTGGGGAGTCACCAAAACATGAGGAACTGTATTAAAGGATCATGGCATGAGGAAGGTTGAGAACCACTGCTCAAAAGGACAGGTCTGGCACTATATCTGCTTTTGTAAAGATTAAGCCCAACTCAACCCAGTGCTGTGGAGTCGACTCCAACTCTTCACATCCCTATAGGACAGACTAGGACTGCCCCACAGGGTTCCCTAGGCTGGAAACCTTTCCAAACACAGACTGCCACATCTCTCTCTCGGGTGGGTTCAAACTGCTAAGCTGCCAATCGGCCACTGAGCACCTTCCCATTGTGCCACCGGGCCTCCTGCCTAAAACTGACAATCAAGAGAACCTCATGGAGTAACACTACTCTGCAACACACGGAGTCCTAGGGTTTGTTTTATGGATTGTGGTGGTCTAGATTATGATCTTCAAACCTGAGTGCTTCTGAATTCCCGAAGGGTTGATCAAAATGAAGATTGCCAGGCTCCAACTTTAGCATGGCTGGTTCAGGAGGTTTGAAGTGGGTCCCAAGAATCGACACAGTTAGCAAGTTCCTCGATGTTGATGATGTTGCTGTGTACCAAAGCGCATATGTTGAGAACTACTGGTGTTTGAGGAAGAATATGGTAGCTTAAGGGGATGGCAGAGAGGCGATGAGTGTTGTTTAGCGGTGAGAAAGTATAACACTCTGTGAAAATTGGCCTGAGGAGTGAAGGAAAGCGAGGGTCTGGAATGTCTAGGATGTTTTAGCTTAAAGGTTGATGGTGTCATTTACTGAACACAAGAGAGGAAGCTGGTTGGGAGTTGATGATGGATGTGCAGATGTTGAATTCAGTTTGGGACTTGGAAAGTTTAGATGGCTACAGTCAGACAACTGGATAAAATATCTGGCATGCAATTGCATCTATGAGTCTAGCTCTCTAGTGAGAGATGCAGACTGGGAATGAGAAACAGACAGGAATCATTAAAGGTTTGCAAGGGGGCAAACTGACTCATGACAAGTGTGGATTGGAAATAAACTTAGACTCTGAGAATGAATAACTGGCAGAAAAGATGCGGTGGGGGGAGAAAAAGAAGAAAATAAGATTGAGAAATGATCCGTTTAGAAGGAGAACCAGGTAAGAAGGTTGTATCCCAAGGTACAGAGAAGTGAAGCACTCAAGAAAGGCACCAGACAAGCAGCCTGTCATGCCAGTCTGACCTTCCCTAACCTGTTGGAGAGGAGAGAGCGATCCCCAGAGCCAGACAGCAGCAACACTGTTGCTGCCCCTTGACCTTTACCTCTGACGTCCTGTGACTGAAGTTGGGAACAAGGTGACAGACTCCCACACCCACACCCGAAGGGGCTTCAAAACGTCCGTGCAGAAATTCCATTACTCCACATGATCTATAAGACCAAAGCAAGACAAGTCAATCCACCGCAGTTGAGCTGATTCTAACTCAGGGCATCTCCATAGGAGAGCAGAATTGTTCCACTGGGTTTCCAAGGTGCTGAATCCTGACAGAAGCAGACTGGCTCCTCAGTCTCCCCAAGAGTGGCCGGTTTGTTCTAACTGTGGATCTTTTCAATGAGTAGCCTGGTGCTTAGCTCATTGCACCATTAGGGATCCTCCATGTCAAAATAGACACCTGATCTCTGGGCAGAGAGGTAGAGCTGCCTCAATTCTCCTTTATCCACTAGTTGCTCTGCTTAATCTTCTTCCTAAGGAGCAGCAGCCAGTGAGGTGGGACCAAGGACCGTGAGGTTAGCAGTCCACCGCTTAGCCCACTACAGCACCAGGTGTTCTTAGTCAGAAATGAATGCTAGTCCAGGCCCTATGAACAACTGTTCTGGCAGAGAGAAGGGATAGAGCCTCACTACTCCCGCTCTGCTACCAAATGAGCTGTTCGGTCTTGAGCAAGTCACCTAGCCTCTGAGCCTTATTGCCTCTATCTGAAAAATGAGAATGATACGGAGTAAATGACTCACAAAGTACTTTAGCACAAAATCTGGGAGACTCTGTAATAAAGGTTTGCGGTTATGATTGCTACAGTGTCTCCTTGCTTCTTAAAATCTTCTTTCAGCTTTCTAAAATTCCTTAGCATTCCTCTCATTTTCCTTTCTACAGGACAGGAGGGTTGATTTTGGGGAGAAAGGAAGAGGGAGTGACCACACAGGCTGAAATAAGCTTTAGAGACCACCAGGACCTGCAGACGTAGCAACACGGAAACACACAGCCTGTGCGTGTTAGGGTGGGGGGGAGGGGGAGACAAGCAGACCCCGTCCACACCAGCCAGTTACTACATACACAACTGTCCCTGGGGGTCACCCAATCATTCCAGACACCTACGGTTTCAAAAACATCTTGACCCCCTTGTCAGTTGGAATTCGTGCCCCAGGATACGTTGGTCCGTTTGTGTTTAAAACTTCCTGAGCCCTTAGCTGGTCCCTAGGGGTTCCCAACCCCGGGCAGTCTGAGCAAAGTGGGCTCTCTTTGGGATAGCACGGAGACATAAACCTTGAGCGTCAGAGTCCCGGCCTCCAAGCCTCTGTTCCACCAGCTGTGAGCTGCCAGCCCAGAAGGCAGCTCAGACGTAGCCCAGGTAGGGCTCTCGGGCCAGCCTCACCCCAGCCCGCAGGAGTTCGAACAAAGTCACGCCCCGTCCCTTAGACCGCCGCGGGGGGCGGGGGCGGGGGAGGAGGAAGAGAGGGGGAACGCGGTCACCGCGTGTCTCTTTAATGCGCGCCCCCGGAGGCCCGGCGCGCCCCCGTCGCTATAATTGGCGTGCATGGAGCAGACTGCTCTCAGAGAGAGAAGGGCGAGCGCTGGGCACCCGCTGGCCGACTTTTCCCAGCACGATCCGACCCGTGTCCGTCCGGCCCGGGGACGAACGGTCGGCCCAGGTCCCGTCCACATGGGCCCGCCCGCAGGCGCCCGCCGCTGAGGACCCGACGCCCGCGGACGCACCCCGGGGCTGCGCGCGCTCCCCACTCCCGCGACCCCGCGCGCGCCGTCGGGCGAGGGCTGCGCCCCGCGCTCCCCGCCCCATGCTGGTGCACACTTACTCCGCCATGGTGAGTGCGCCCGGGCTCGGGGCTGGGGGCCCCAGCGACTGGCCCGAGGGCTCC